TTTTTGCTATGATTGTTGTCAACAAAAAAACCTTTCACTGTATTCTTTAGCAATTGTAAAGGCCAGATAGTTTAGGGAAGATGAATGAAAATTTGGTCTTCAATCAGCTACAAGTAAACACGGGGAGGAGTTGAAAAACTGACAATTCAGCGGGATAACAAAAAAAACTGATCTTTGTCTTTTGTCTTTCATTACCAATAAAAATTTAGGCAACAACAATATTTGTTCTATTCTTTAGCATAACTGCTGTTGCTTGAAAACTTGAAAACTTTAATCCGCCGTTAAGTTGAAGTGGCCACTTATCCTCCTGACCTAAAAGTATATTTAATTTGATGTGGGCGCACATACAGACAACACCGAACCCTTAACAGCAACATCTGCAACAGTAACACTTGTCGACGGTAAAAAAAAGAATACTCGTCATTATCGTTGCTTAAAAATATATTAACGGTTAGTTCAATTTTTTACATCAAATAATCGGCAAATAAAAAAAAAAAACACTGACTATGGTGTGGCAAAAAAAAACTGTTAAAACTGTTAAAAATCATTACTTTTCTAAGTCAATTTTGCTTTTTTTGCGTTGTCTAAAACGTTGTCTATTTTCCTAACAATTATATAGTGTTAAATTGGTTATATATGTAATTTTCTGGATGAATAATTGCTGAATTGTAGTTCAACTATAGCTTAGATTTAATAACACTATAACTAAAGACTTGAAAAAAAAAAAAAAAAAGATATACTGATCTGAAAAATGTTGCATGAACAGCGATTGTATTCGCAAAATGTGTTCTTAGTTGACCGTTGTGGTTGGCAGTTGTCTGTTTCTGTTAGCTTTCAGATTTTTTGCAACCACTTCACTTTGATAAGACTAAAAAAGTTTACATATGTGAAACGAATGTTAAACAGATTTTTTTTTGTTTTGTCAAGTTAATCACAAGGTTTTGTTCTGTTTTGTATCAGTATTTGCAGTTGGAAAAGAAAGATTTCTTTTTTTGCAAGACTTCATTGGATTTGACCTTTGATTGAAATAATTTTTGTGAACAGTCATTAGGTGACAAAAAAAAAAGACGACAACAAATGGAAGAATCCGTTTTTTTTATTGTAAAGTGTCGAAAAAAAAGATACAGAAAAATGGATTTGTGGTTTAACGGTATACCGCAACTTTGGTTTACTCCTAATTTTTTTGTCAAAACAGTTTTTGCCGGTTTAACTTTGCTTTTTTTTTTTTTTTTTCGTGTTGCACATTATAACACACAGTTTTTTATTGTTGTCGGCTTTCTTCTTCATTCTTTGTACCCGAAGTATATTTCTTTTTTGCAACGTCACTGTTTACCTATGGTAATAAAAAAAGATATAATCTGTGTTGGTTTCTGTTCTTTAAAGAACCTCTTCACTTCATTCTTCTGCCCCATCTCCTCCTCTTCCCCCTCATCCTCCTCTATGCTTCTTCAATTCTTCTCGTTTTCCTGCAAAAAAAAAGACGAAAGAAAAAACGAAAAAAAAAAGCTAACAGTATTAGCAAATTGGATTAGCAGTATACCAAAAAGCTTCAAGAATCAGTTTAACTTTCTTTTAAATTTTTCTTTCCTGTTTTCTTTTCCCTTCCTTTTTTTTTTTTTTTTTTTTTTCTGTTGTTTGTGTATTACTTTGAATTGGTTTCGATTTAAACAGTTTGCTTAATGCTTTGTTTGATGGATTCTTTTTTTTTGCTGTCAAATTGAATGCTAAGCTTCAGTTACCAATTATTGGATTCAT